TTTCAGTCTTCACCTCAGAAAACCCAAGGCCAGAGAGATGCTTGGATCCTTTGCAAAAATCAGTTATCTTCACCCTTGTCTGTAAGAAAGCAGGGAACATGGAGACATTTGACATTCATTGCTCCAACCTGATCAATAAATAGAACATTGTACCTATGGTTATTTTTAAAAGCGGTAATTTCAGAAGGGAGGAGGACAGAGTGGAGTGGAATACATTATCACTGTCAGATTTTTTTTCAGTGGTCATCAATTTGTATAAAGGTTTGGCACATATCAGTAGCCACAGAGGTGCTCGTTAGGTGTACTTTTGCATATAGCTGTTCTTGCCACATCCAGATACCTACAGTCTTCCAGTTACAGAGTACCCATTTTTCTGCTGTCATATATCTGAACTGTAACTTGAACAAAGGCTTCACTTTGCACCCTGTAGTTTTGAAAGCAGAGCAAGAATATTCTACAGCAGTAGAAGTTAGCAGCAAACACACAAGCTTTTGATCCTGTGCCACAAAACAAAACAAACAAAAAGCTCATGATGTTATCCTCTCTCTGTTCAGATACACAATCTACTCAAGCAGGAAATACACACAGGTAGAGGAGGACAATCAGCCATGACGATGACAAGCTGCTGACATTTCTGAATTCCTCTTTGAATAGCAGGTGCTGGCTGAGTACTCATAAGGCTAGTGAGCAGGAAAGAGCTTTTCAGAAGTCACTGCCTTGAATCACAGAATGACAGCACTGCAAGAGACAGACTGCAATCTAGTGCATGATGTGGTGCCAACCGTAAGTGACAAAGAACAGTAAAAAGATTCAAAGAAACCAAACCACAAACACCGTTCTCAAATCACACTTCAGAGCATTTTAGATGAGCGAAGAAGAGGCATGGAGCAAGGCTCTTCTCGGTGACAACCAATGGTAGGACGAGGGGTAATGGGTTTAAACTGGAACACAAGAGGTTCCACCTAAATTTGAGAAGAAACTTCTTCTCAGTAAGGGTGACAGAGCACTGGCACAGGCTGTCCAGGGAGGTGGTGGAGTCTCCTTCTCTGGAGACATTCAAAACCCGCCTGGATGCCTTCCTGTGTAACATCGTCTAGGTGTTTCTGCTCCGGCAGGGGGATTGGACTAGATGATCTTTCGAGGTCCCTTCCAGTTCCTAACATTCTGTGATTCTGTGATTTGTTATCACCATAGCAAAAAGATTGTAACAGACCTTCCATGAGGAAATGACCACCTGGCGAGCACACAATCCAGAGGGAAAACTAGACTGCCACACATAGCTTCTGGCATGACAACAGACTTAGAAGGGCCTCTTGGGTTATCCAAGACTCTGCTGTCACTTGCACCCACAACATATTATTCCTTTTGTAAGTGGCAAACTGTCTCCTTTATACAAGAAAGCAACTTTTTTGTGTCTGCTCTGTACTGCTTTTTCACTAAAGTAAGGAAATAGGATTGGCTATTCCGCTTTCAGCAATCTCTCCTCTAATACCAGTGGGAGCTGTCTGTACAACCACAACAAACTTGCTTTCCACAGCTTCACTGACCAGCCCCTTCCCATAAGTATCTGGAGTGGTGTCACTTAGAGGGAAAAAAATAAGAAATTGCTACCTAGACTAAACATTTTATTGCTTTGTACGGCTTTCTGATAGCCTTGCCTTCCTAGAGGTGTCCCAGCATTGGCATGAAAACAAGACCAAACCTACAAAGAAATGTCCTATAGAGGCATTTTTGAAGAACAAATGCAGCCTGCCCACCTCAGATATGGGGAATAGAACCTTGACAGGCTTCTCATAAGCACAAGAGGAGATTTCACCCACTTGCCACCACTGTGGTGGCACTGTGGGTGGGCAGGAAGGGAGGCAGTGGTGGTCATGGAGCAGTGGCTGGCCCTTGCTGTGCTGGCTACACTGGTACTGCACTGGGAGTTCACACTAGAGTCCTGGCAGCTTGCTTCCACACAGTGTCAATGTCCTCTGTTCTCATAGTTTGATGGGATTCCTCCTCCTCTTTTGTTTCTCCTTTTCCTTTGATATGCCTTCACTTTCACTGGCCCACACAACAGTGTCACCCCTGTTGTAACACACAGACACACAAGGATACCCCTTTTTTTCATCTCTTGATTTCACTGTGTACATCTGCCTCATCCTGATCTCCAAAACTGAACCAGTATCTGTAAACATCTCCCATGGTCACACCACAAAATACTGAGGAACATAAATCAGCCTTTGATCTCACCACTTACTTCCAGAGTTGGAACACTTCTCACTTTTTTTTGAGCAAGGGCGTCTGTGTTTGCACATATGTATGTGACCACAAACATACAGAGAGGTCTCAAGCTTTTCTCGAATGTAGCCAGTCTCTGATGAGGCACGAGGAACTGCGGGTGTGTGAAGGGCCTGTTACCACACACTCTGGGTCAACATCCATCTTAGTATTTGTTAGTGAGCTTCATCACCTCTCTTACAGAATGACTTCATCCTCAGTGTCTACTCTGTTTCTCTGTCCTCCTCCAAATACATTTAGCAGACTCGAGCCAAAAACTCTTCTTGCTCCCTTTACACCTTGAGCAAAACACACAGCTGCAAAACAAGATAGCTACCTGCAGATCTACCATCTCAGACAAGAGAGCGATAATCCTCTTTCTGTATGAGATCTGCTTCTCACTGAAATCCATTCTGATGAAGGAAATTTTTACACAAGAGTGAAGAAAAACAAAGAAAAAAAGCCTAGAAAGGTGACGCTCGTTTTAATGTTAAATGGTCCAAATCAAGGATTAATTAAAGCCTGTTTTCCTCATTTCAGAGTAAAAAAAATGAGCAGCATTTATCTGAGACACAGACAAAAGTAAGCCATCTTGGGTTTGCTAATACTTAAAATTATTGAGAAAGGACTAACAGCACCTGTAACATTCCCTTCTCTCCATAACAATCCTTCCTTTGGAAGCAAGAATGTTAACGTTTGAAAACACAGATTTACACTTCAGAAAAAACAGGTATATGATATAAGGAGATAGCAAGCATGCAAAATTCTTAATGCTCAATTAAAATCACAAGATACGATCATTGTGTAAGCTCTTGAAAAAAAAGAAACAAAAACACAACACAAACTGTTCTAGATAAAAGAACGGGCAGTGTTTCCTCTCAAAGTGCAGAATAGCACATTCCAGCCCTTTTGACCCGAGACTTGCATGCCCTAGTACTTCTGACAGATGAAGAACTAGACAAGCTGAGCAGTTAAGTCTTATCTACCTAAGTCAGCAGTAACAACTCTGAAAAAAGTACCGTATCAGTATACATCAGTAGCACAGATTTTTGTCTACTCACATACACAAAAGTACCACATCCCCTCTCTCAAGGGGTTAGAATTGCACCACACATTGTAGAGGGAAATAAGCCGTTTGAGGAGAAAAGGTGAAAAATCAACCAACAGCAGAGAAATAAGATTATCTTGAATACCTGACTGCTGCTTGTTCAGTGATTCTGGTTTTCATCATCATCCTTGTTTCATTTTGTGAAGACTCCAGTGATGATGATAATGAAAGGTAAAGTACATTGATTCTTATCACACACATAATAAAAAAATTAATAAAGAAACGATACCAGAGGATATCTCCGATCTTCAAGAAACTAGGGCTGTTTGCTGACCCAATAAAAACAACAACCAAAAGTGCACAAATCAAAATAAACCAGCCATGAGATAAAAATGCCTATTTCTGTGTCATTCTTACCAACACTATCTCACAGAAGTGCATTTATTTCTTGTAAGACATAACCTTCTGTTAAACATGGAGTAAGGAAACAAGAGGAGTTAAGGCCTCAAAATTAAGCAATTTAGTCTTGGAACATGGTTTTCTAGGTAAGACATGCCACCTAGTTTCACTAGGGCTGCAGTGATTTAGAAGTATGCACAGAAGCTGTGAACTAATTAGAAATTATTAAGTGTTGCACCCCCCAATGATAAGAAGGAGAAAATGTGAAGTTAGCAGAAGCTCAAGAATTTAATTTAAAAAAAATAAAAGTAACCAAATATCTTCGTTTCTGGTGACATTTCCCTGAAAACAGAGGACGATAAAAACATTGGCTTTTCTTGCCCCAAGCAAAATTCACTTCGGACCATTCCCTCACCCTCCCACTGGATGCATGCAACACTGAAGACTTCCGTGATTTTTGCCTTTTTTTTTTTTTTAATTATTTAATTTAAACAACAAGTTTGGGGAAAGATGGGTAACGAGCAGCACCTTTTAAAAAAACCTTGTTGTGTGCTATATAGGATAAACAGGTGACCCTTAAAAAAAGTTAAGTTTATATATGTACATATACACACATACGCTAAATCAAATTAAAAACAAAACACTTGTTGGGGGTTGTTTTCAACACAAGAGAGAGGAAAGCCTTATTTCACAGCAAGCAAAAGCACCACAAGATTAGAGTGCACAACCATTATGTAGTGCCAGTACCAAACTAGCCTGGGTCCTGGAAGCAGTGTAGCTAGAGCAGCACAGAAGTCCATGTGGGCCAACTTATCCCACTCCTCAGCAAAAATGAGCACAGGATCTTGCGTTCCGGAGGGTGTGCTGCACAGGCACTCCCACAGCCGGCTGCTCTGTCTTCTTCATCCGTTTTGGCGGAAGCCACCAAAAGGAGTAAACTAGTGAGAATAAGAGACCCAAAGCTAAGCTACAGGACTGATACAGCTACAGTATTTCCACGACAGAGGTTTCCAAGATCCCCCATATCTCCTGGGTGCTCTCTGTAGGTACTGCCTGCTTGGGTCATGCAGCAGACAGCTCCTGATTTTTTATTATTTGTGCACTGACGTTCCCACTCTTGGCCACATGCATCTTTTCGTGTGTCTCTTACACCCCACACCACCATTCCTATTTCCTCCAGGCTGATGGGGTAATAAAACTAGGAAGGGCCATGTACAACCAAACTAAGCTTAAGAAAAATAATAACTCTTAAAAAAATCCCAAACAATTAAAAAACTTATTCAAGTTCTGCAGACTTCTGGCAGAGTTTGGTCATTTAGTCCAGAGATCTTTGTCTTCAGCACCCACAGGCTAAATTGTCTCAACTGGCAAGAAGCATGCAGTGCAAAGTAAAATTTTGACTAAAAAAAGTAGTAAAGGGTTGGGGGAAGAGCCTAAACAAAGGAAACTCAGTACTTCCATAGCAGCCCTTAGGCTACACGGTAAGCTTTCAAGAGAGTGAACTCCTTTCTGTTGGTGCGAGCTGCCCAGATGAAAAGAGCAGCTGCCATGAACTGCAAAGGTGCCGAGACACAGGCTAGGCAGAAGGACCAGCCGAATTCACCCCTCACATCATCAGGCAGGGGTAGTTTCTTGTGGAGTAGCTCGATCCCAGCCACGTAGCAGCCGACCAGGCCCAGCGTACAAAGCCCTGGGGAAGGAAACATAATGAGGTCACCATTGAAGCACTCTGGAAGTGCTCTGGCTGTCACTACAACCTCCTGGAGGAGGGGAGGTAAGTGGTGGATGGCAGGAGACCCACCTGCTAGGAAGTGGAGGACGCCGGTGGCAATGGCAGGGTAAAGGCTGCGACAGGCACAAGCACAGAGGCCAATCAGAGCCCCAAAACACATGAGGCCAAGACTGACAAAAGGCAGGAGGAACTGCAATCGCCAGAGATCTGCACAGGAAAGGAACACACAAAACAAGTTTGCTGAAGGTGTGCTACAAACTGATCTTCTCCCACCATCGTACATTCCCTTCTACCCATGCTGCTTCTGCTTCATCAGACATTCGACATCCAGAGCTAAAAAGGACAAAAGGTTCCACTGAAGTAGAACAACTTCATGTGTTAGCTCCAAAATCCCTGTACTGCGTTCACAGGCCAAGAACTTTGCTAACACATCCAAGTTTTCCTTTTAAACTTTGACCTACCGCTTGTGCTACTGTAAAAATACAGTAAACGCAGAGCAAGATACAGATGCTTTCCTCACTAGTAACTGTATTTGAGAAACATTTTTTTTTTTTTGAATCCTATTTGTTCACCTACCAGAAGTGAAAGACACTTACAAGTCCGATTCAAATCCGTGCCACTATTGTGATTTCCAGGCTCTATGTATTTTTCCATAAACTGATCAGAGAGGGAAAAACTGATGCAGTTTGTTGTCATATCAGTTTCTGTGGGGAAAAAAAATATCAAAAATTACCATTAGGTGTTTCCCCTCTCATCCCTTTCAATTCCCCCTTCCCAACCATTTGAGCTGAGAAGCATTTCAGAGTTCAATTTGAGAGAAAAAAACCCTGCCTCTCAAAATATGTTAGTAAGATGCCTCATCACAATGTAGTTAGCATAACGTAGTTACTACAGCGAGGGACAATACTCAAACGCAGAATCTTTAAGCTTACCTGGGCTATCCAGAAGCCTGGGTCATGCTTGACAGACTGAGAAAGAAATGTGGCACACGATGCTCAGCTATGTTGTTACATACTCTTACACTCAGAGTCCTTCAAGCTGTGCTTATCTCCACTTGCAGAATGTAGTATTGTACTAAACACCTCATTCCATGGGATAGAAGGGACTATTTTTGAATAGTCCTTTCTATCGAAAATAGTTGCTCCTTTACAGTAAATTTCTCCCCTTTTATGCCTCAGAATACTTTGCTCTGAAAATACTATTGAGCAGAGCTAGTTTCAGTGTCTTCCAAAATGAAAGAAAAAAGTATTTAATGTAAAATTTTTTCTCCTTCTAAGAGTTCAAAACTGAGGGCTTCACACACACACACAGACACAGACACACACAGACACACACACAGACACAGCAGACACACACACACACACAGACACACACACACACACAGACACACACACACACACAGACACACACACACACAGACGTGACCAAAATATACTTTGAAGCAATTAAAATAATTGCTCAGCACACTTGTTTAGCTCCCAACCACTATGGAAAATAATACAAATATTTCATTCTATATCAAGCGCTATGGTACAAGGAGCCCCAAAAGTGCTGATGCAATAGGGGTACATTTGTGATTGGCAAGCTAAACAAATGACTAGCTAAAAGGAGTGAGTACCCCCTTGACAAAGGAGTATCTTTATTCCATTGATGGATCCCAAGACTTCTCCTAAAAACACAGCGACTGGCAGAGCAACTATAATTTATTCCCTATTAGAGAGCTGATGCAAAAGAAAATCAGGTTATACCAGACTAAATTTAGATCAAGTATCATGTGTCAAATCCAGTCTGTAGCACCGACAGCCAAAGACCGTTTTGCCTTTTGCTTCTTAAAAAATTTAGCCAGTCTTTATTAAAAACACAACAAGTAAGCTTAGAAATAGCTGTTCTGGAGGAACAAAATGGCATGAACACGTTTTGAGGAAGTTAGCACATATCAAACCCAGGCAAGCTAGGGAAGCGTTAAATTGCTCTGGAGATACCTGGTGGGCTGTACCAGTGAGAGTTTTTGGGTACAGTGATACACCTCCGCCACAATCCAATTGAGCGCATCTGTGTAGGTCTTCTCATCTGCCTCTTCACTGACAAATTCCTCCCAGATGCTTCTGCCAGCTTCACTAACATTCTCGGCTGGGGACAGGGTGTGATATTCGTACCAAAAGTCAGTACCGATGGAAGCTGCCATATAGATGGTGGAGATGAGGCTGAGAACACAGGCAATGACTAGCGCCGTAGCAAAACGGTTATCCATCCCTGCGCCCTTGCTGCTGTAAGGAAAGAGAGGGCCAAGTGAGAAACTCCTCTGATAGCCAACATATAGCGTCGAACTTGTGACATCATTCCTCTTATGCAACGTCTCCTCAGGATACACACATTTTCCTTTTCCAGCATGCTGGAATCAAAGGAACAACTGAGCAAGTCTACAGTACCAGCCAGCACCCACTGGATCTGTGAGCTCAGGGCATGGCTGGTGCCCTTCTCCCAGCCACGCTGGGCTAGCTGCTCGCTCAGAGACAGCAACTGGCAGAGCAACAGCAACTGTCCCCAAGGCACAGAGCACAGCTCGCTGCCATTTGTCATCCTGGTCATAGGGAACCGCAGAGAATTCATCCACAGCGTCCAGGCAGAAGACTTATCTTTCCTTAAGAGATTACCAAGGGCAGAAGTTATTTTTAGCCTGCCATCCCATAAGGCTTTCCCAGCTTGTGTTTACAGCGAAGATAAGAACCATGAGTATGCCAAAAAGAGCTCTTCCAGACTGTTCGTAAAGGGCATCCATGCCAGGGTGCCAGAATGGCTTTAGGGAAGCAGAGATATGTATTTAAGCGCTAGAGACAGAACATGAAGGAAGCACCAAAAGACAAATTTGGAAATTATAATAAATGCTGCAATAATGCCACAATACATAGTGGTATTTCTGAAGAACTAGAACTATGCAGGGGGGGTGCCCCATCCCACGGGAATAAGATGACAAGCACTTCCAAAACTAAAGGCCTTCATGTGCTGGCATGAGGATTTTACTCTGGCTCCCTGTATTAAAGGTTATTTATGCCCTCGTTTGCAGGGTCATGCTCACAAACGGCATAAATTCAGGCATGGGAAAATACAGATACCACACATGCTTACGCTTATGACAATGCCATGACTTTAACGAGCAATTGATTGCTAATACATGGCATGTTTTGTGTATAGTGCAATATGTCAGAGGACTCTCAGATGCCTGTTACTGTCATGCTTTTTCTGTGCTTGATTAAATTTATGGATTATGACGAATCAGGCTTGATGCACTTTAAAAACAAAACAACAAGAAAACCACAAAAAATCACCAACAAACAACCCTAACTCAATAGAAGTTACCTCAGCAGCTAGAGCTAGTCTGGCGACATGAGCTATTATCTAATCAGCTCTTCTCTATTGCTTGTTCTATCCCCCTTCTCCCACATACTTGGATCAAAATATTTTGGTTTAGTTTCTTTGCAACTGAATGAACCGTAACTGGAAACAGCAAATGCCTTAAAACACAATATTCATGAGGAAAAACACAAGTGCTCAAATCAGACTTGCCAGTATGAAATTCTGAACTATGAAACAAGGTGCAAATTAAAGTGGAGAGTTTCAAAGGTACCAGAACTAACTGATAACAATGCCATTCCTCTTTCTTTTCCCTCCCATTTGCTCCTCTATTTGGCCAAAACTGGCCAACAGCTTTGGAGAGGATACTGTATCCCATATCACTGCCCATGCTTAATTTCTTTATTAAATGAAAAATCTTTGTAATATCCATCCTTGAATTTTATCCTTAGCAACGAGCAAGAACAGACTGATTTTTGATGAATTGACAAGAAGCACTCATTTAAAACGCTGCAAAGTTTGCACACCACAACTGTGCTTAAATATGAATCCACAAGCTGTGAACTTGTATAAGCTAAGACAAATATTGAGAGGCAAAACAACACCGTGCCTGGGCTTATTTATCTAGAAGACATAGAATCAAGACCAGACTTGAAAGCGAACTCTCTGTGCAGTTTCTTCTTCCTTCAATATCAGGGCATCTAGCTCAAGATACATAGGACACTGGAAGAGCAGAATAAGGTTGCTGTATAGGTCTGACCTCGCTGTTCATCCTCACTGAGTTCACCAAGGGATCCCTTACCCTGCACAAACTTCTCGCAAAGCAAACAGGGCAAGTGGCATCTCCAGGGCCAAAGCTATGCTGTCTGGCTCCTGCCTAGCTGAGCTGCTGAGCTCAGAGCTGAGCAGATCTTCTGCGAACTCACTCTCAGGGCAAGCGGTGGAACAGGCTGGCAAGCAGGCTAGTCCGGATTTTCCACTACATTGCAGTTATATTGGCTGCAGCAGGAACCTTCTGCAAGAGACTCTGCACTTTAGAAAGGCCTCTCTCTGGAAGAAGGAATTGTAAGAACCTACAACCTCCATCCTCTGAGTACTGTCTAGTTAAAAAAAAAAAATTATTGGACCCTCTTTTTGCTGCCATTGCCTTTTAATACAAATGCTTACAAAAAAAAAATCTTGTCGACTTCACATTTGACATACATAGACAAAACAATTGACTAAAAAAAAAATAATCTTAATTTCAGATACAACATCCCTGCTGTGCGGTGCAGAACACTGGTGCTGGAAATATCCCTAACAGATCATCATTAAAACACAACCACAAACTTTTGGCTAGCTTTCTGTGCGTTGGCATACAGTGGACTTGATAGAGTTGTTGTCAGCTGGCAACCAAGAGTAGTTCACAAGCAAAATAAAGGGTTAAACATCAAACAATAAATGAAAGCACTGCCCAGTGTTCGTTACCCACTTGGTAAAAGGGATGTGGCTGTTTACCGACATTCAATCCTTGTAAGCACAGCTCCAGGGACAGCTAGAAAGCAGCCGAGCTGGCTGCGATACCCAAAGCCTATGGCTTGGTGTGGCATTTGTCCCAGAAAAAGACATATGGATTTTCAGTATGTACAAGGCCATGTCAAGGCAAGAGCATACCTCCTTACAGTAAAGGTCCCCTCCGCAATTCTGCCTAACACTTCAATTACTTGCAGGAGAGAAGGAGAGTTCTACAACACTTCACGCAAATTTTGAACTAGAAGACCTTTCTGTCACAGTGAAGGCTTGATTACCCTGCCCATTCACCATGTATATCCAATACGTCTTCATTTTCAGTAGACACACCCCATTTAAACAAGGTGTTCATTGCTCTGCTAAAGAGAGAATCATCCTTCCAGCCCCAGGCAGAGCTCAATGGGAGTAGTAAGTATTGTCAGTAAGAAGCAGTTGACACAGAAAACCATAAAGAAAGATACCACATGTTTACAAGATATGTTTTGCAAAAGGCTCTATGCAGAACAATATGTAGGAAATGCCTTAGAATAAGATTTCTTACAGAAAAATAACATCACTACTACAAAAGATGACATTAAAGACATAAATAACGATAACATTTGAAAATACTTTGCCTTTATAAGCTGTCAGCAAGAACTTTCATTGCGTTTACAAAATGTTTGTTCATATGGCACTGCCAGCACATTTTATTCTAACAGAAGAAGCTATTCTAATTAAGTTAAGTAAACGATGCAATGAATGTAAGACAACACAAGGCAGCAGTAAACAGGCATTCAAGCAGAAGTGCTTCACAAGATACTATACTCTTTTTTGAAAGAAAAGAGACATAAAAATTTCAAAGCATCAACTCATAAAAGAGAAGGCAAAGGCCAAATTAACAGCAACATTCAAAGAAATGTCTAGATACATGCACTTCATAGCAGGGGAAAATCAAAAGGGCAGAACAAGTCAGTATACTGAGTTGAAAATGAAAAAAACACAGAATAACCAAAAGCAAGTATTCTGGCAAAAAATCAACTCTAAGACCGGAGCATGGATAGGCATTTTATGAAGTTACGGTACCATGGCAGAAGGAAATTATGCATATTTTTATCTTGTTACAATGATCACTTCCTTCAGCCAACAGCAGGCCACATTTAAGAAACTCCTTCTCCTAACATCACAAAAGGGGAAGGCTACCTTTACTGGCATTTTCTTGCATTGACTGACATTATCTCAGAAAACATGCTTGCAATCTGAATGTTCTCTGGGAGAGCAAATCAGACAGAAGGTCCAAAAGAAGGCGAAATGTGGAGAAAGGGTTAGTGACACTAGCGGACAGGATCCTCTTTTGAACACTCAGGGCAAGGGAGGGTTATTAAAAAATGCCACCAAACACTTTTTTACCTTCAGAGATCCTCAGAGGCTCCTCAGGACACAGAGCTCCAACGATCCCAGGTCACTTCAGAGACGCAGAGTTGTTCGCGTCTTGTGGCAAGCAGAGAGCATGAAATGAAAACTTCCTCTCTGCCGTAACTGTTCCATTCATTCAGTTTCTTCAACGCCACCACCTCACAAAGAGCAACCTAGAAGGAGAAAGCAAACTCAACAGTCCGAGACCATCGTTTCACTTGGAAATAATTTCCCAGAAACCTGCCAGTGCTGCTCATTAAGGAAAGAAAAACATTACGAAGGGGTGAAAAATTACTTCAAAAGCCCTCAGGCCAACAGCGCCGTGCCCCACCGGGAGCAATCCAGCGCCGGACTAAGCGACCGTGTGAACGGCTCTCGCCCCGCGCAAGCGCCGAGCCCCAC